CTGAGAACTGCTCCTGGGTAAGCGAACACAGAGCAATCTTGTTTCAGCAGAAGTGCACCCAAGTGGTGAGAGATAAACAGCAGCCGCGGAGGCAGAAAGAAGGACAACATGCATACATATACAAGATGAGAGAATCATTAAGATGCTGGCTACAGAATTGATTTTCCACCTCCTACTGAATATTTATATAGAACAAGCACTCCAAGTAGAAAATGCTCGGAGTCATCTCTCCCCCCCTCCTCCAGCCACCCACCCCCACCCTCTGGTTGGACAAACAAGCCTCTTCCTCAGCAAGTCCCTGATGTAAGTCCTTCTAAGGAGTGGGAAGAATATAGCGGGGTCTGAATGGGATCGGTACTGGCAGAGGTGACTGGAAAACCTGGTTCTGAGATAAGACTCAACTCAGGGCGGAATCGCTGCTGTTAATTCATTACATGGAAAGCAGAGAGTGAGGAAAGGGACAGTCAGGTTCTGTTCCCTTCGTGGACAAAGGCCTGACTTTCAACAAGCTCACAGAGGAAAGGAGCTTCTTCCAAAACCGCCATTTTGTGGTTTTCCTCTAAATAGTTCAAGAGGCTGTTCATCAGCAGGTCCAACTCCATACTGTCTCCTTTGTTCGCTCGCAGACCCTTCCAGGCAAATTTGGATCCGAAGCAAAAGCATTTATGTACAGGATATTATGGGCTGTCCTCGTGGCGTGCTATTAGTTAACAATGCACAACGGGAGACCTAACCTATTCCGACGTGCCATGCTTTTCCACTACGTACATCATCATCACAATGTTCATTTCCAGGGAAAAATAGGGGTCTGCCATGTAAGTTGCACAGACTGCAGTACGGACCACAGGACGCCATTTCAGATTCCAAGTAGCGGCAGTAAATTCTCAGCAAGGATTAAAAGCCCTTGCTTTGACATATTCATGTTTGAGAGCCAGTGCGGTGTGGTGGTGAAGAGCCTGGGACTGGGACTCAGGCGATCCGGGTTCGAGTCCCCGCTCGGCCATGGAGCCAACTGGGTGGCTTTGGGCCAGTCACAGACGCTCAGCCCAACCCACCTCACAGGGTTGCTGTTGTGGGGATAAGATGGAGGAGGAGCATGATGTAAGCTGCCTTGAGCCCTTTGTAGGAAAAAGGCAGGACATAAATCGAAAAATAAATAAATAAATAAAATGTTTAAATTGGAAAAAGCTCTGCATCTGAAGCTCAATTATTACCCTCCTGTATTTCTCAGATCTAGCATTGTTATCAATACAAGGCAGTTACCATTTCACAGGTAAGCAAAAGAATTTGAGCCTGCCGAACTGGCATACCGCCTAAGAAAAACTGGACGATTTTGCAAATTTTTCTGACTCCTTTGCAACAGCCACAACGATAGGACTATTTCTTACCAACACAAAGGCCTATCTTGTCCAGCATTCTCTTCCTACTTCTTAGGTTAAGTTCCAGCCTTTCCCAACAGTTCCTGGGTCCAAATTCATAACAGTGGCTGGATTCTGTCAGAAACAAAAACAACACAGAGAGATGCACTCCCCCCCCCCACAAGCCACCATGTTCAAAGAACCAAGCCAACTTTAAACAAACATCATCCGGAAAGCTCACTGCTTCCTGCACAAGTGATGCTTCAGGAAGCCTTGCTTCTTAGCCTCTGCGCCAAATTCGATGTACTTGGTATTAGGCTATGTCAAAAGAATGTTTCATATAAACAGAGAGCTGGAATTAGTTTGTATATTTTAATCTGCATATCAATGACAGACATTAACTTCTTCTGTTTAGCTGGTATTCCACTTCAAACCAGCTGGATGAATTCCAGAAAGTCCAGTTGTTTCCAAAGGCAAGTTTAGAAAACAGTTTGCATATAACTAAAAGGCTGATGTGCATGAATAGCATTTTACCTGTATGGATTTATCTCTGTTAACAAAAATTGGTGGATTAATTCTCTGGAACAGATAGAGAAAAACAAGAGCATAGATTCAAATGCTCCATGAACAGAAGGGATTTTGATCCAGCAGAGGATCCAGTGACCTTCGCCAATTCCCACACCATCGTAGCCCCATGTACCTCCACCCTGTGCTAGTGTGTTTTCCAATTTTCTGGAGCAGATTTTCAGAGGAAGAAGGGGGGTGGCAGAGGGCAAACTGGGGAAAACTGCCTTCCCCTTCTTCCACAGGTGGAAGCACCCAATGTGCATTCCAGGCTAAGTTAGGAAAATAGCATACAAATAAACAAAACATACCTATCACCAAGAGCTGGTGTAACACAACAGTTAAGACACTTATCCAAAAGTCAAGAAGCACCTGGTTCATGTCCTGTCTCTCCCCTGAACTGCACAGGTGGCTTGCATGCCGCCCCTCCCTCCTGCCCAGCACCTGCAATATGGGATTGTTACAAAGAGCACTGAGATAATACACAACTATGCGGAATATTTTAAAGCACTATGTTGCTCTCACCAAGTACATCCTTGGTTATCTTTCAACTCATTTTCTTTTCGTACCTTACATCTGCATGTTGCGTTGTAAATGCAACTTGTAAATGTAAGGTACATTTCTACAGGAGGAGTAACTGTGACACTGTGGCTTCTTTACACAATGAAGGTGTGTTAACTGGACCACTGCATCTTGCTGATCAGTTCAGCACAGATCTATTAATTTGGAAATAAATTCAGCATAGACCATGTCTTTCCCAGCCTGGCTAGTATGAAAATCATCTCCATCATCTCCATCACCTTCATCATTGGAAAAAGTGATGCAACTTTAAATAAGACGTGCTATAAGCCGACTTCTAGAAATTAAGTCTCCCCATTGCTGACCATCTGGGGATCTGTGATGGCAAGACTGATCAGCTGGGAAATACTCTGCTGCAAGAGAGAGGAATAAGCCCTCTGAACTAGCAGATTTAATGTTCCACATAAGACTCGGCAGGTGTCAGTGAGAAAGTGAACTCCTCTCTCAAGTGAAATTTTCCTTTCCCACAACCAAATGAAGGCAGAGAACTGATCCGGCTTGGGATAGCTGCTTCAGGGATGCATTCTGAATAAGGGAATCCGGTGAACACGCAAATGTCCACTCCTAGAAACGGAAAAGCCTGTCCTTTTGCTGCTGGGTCGATGAGTCCACCCCACTGGCCAACTAGGTGTTTTGAAAGGAGACATAAAAACCTTATCTTTAGCTGGTAATAACTGCAAATTCACTGTGATGCAAATGTTTCACAACCTTTGCTATTTCATGTTTTGGCTCTCCCTTGGAAGAGTCACTTGCACAATAAGGAAGCTGAAAGAAACAAACCATTTGTAAAAACTGTATAGTGATGTGTTCAAGTACCATCTCGTGATGTTTTGCCTGTAGCATCGTGTCTTCCTGCTGATTTAGAAACTTGTGTTCATGTTCTAGATCAAAAGTAGAGTCAATGGCAGAATGTCGCAGAGGATTCTGTGAACAGTCCTGTATCAACCATGCTTACCGGAAAATTAGTCCTGCTGCATTTGATTTCTGAGTTTAAGATTAAAGCTACACTCTTAAGAGACCCTGCCCACTGCCAACCGAGGCTTCCTCTCAAGATGATGCACCTTATAACACTCCATAAAGACATACAGAGAATGTGCTCGCTAAATATGCTTTCTACTCCATATGGGAGACCTTGGAGAGTCCCTTCAATCTGAGAAATTCTAGCACCAAGAAGTAGCGTTTGGAGTAAGTCTCCAGTGTTTAGTTTTATGCAAAGATATCTGGAACCAGTGCAGAACAAGTACCTGGACCTCTGCCTGGCATCTCCCCAGTAACCAAGCTCATCCCAGGGATTTCCTGCTCCGATTTCCTGATTCTCCGCAGCTCTACCCCTGAACCACTGTAAGTAGGACACCTTTGGCCCCTGCAAAAAACTTTTATCCTAGGTGGGCTCCAAAGTGGCAGGTAGATTCCATCCCGAAGAAAGCAGCTGGGTGAAATGGTTCCAGGGAGAAAAGTTCTGCGGGTTAAGAGTTCAGCACCTACTGCTTCTCTGCATTAAAATCATTTCACCCCTACCTCGGTTTATATCATTTCAGTATCACCTTGTGTTTTAATACATGACTCATGTCACAGTTCCATCTAGTAAGACCTTCAGTGGGAGCCCCAGGTAACACGGATCAGCCATTTTTTAAAATGTGGAGTTATAATTATTTCATAAGCTTCCCTAAGAGCCGGGGACAGGGTGAGATAGAAATCTCAGATAAATATAGTCCTTTCATTTGCATTATGCAATGACAATTCAGAAAGTCAGCCCCTCTGGGAAATTATGCAGCTGAACTGGGTAAAGTTCATGCAGGGACGGATGGGATGGCTCTCCCAAGGTCTCGTTCGTGCCGCCGCCCATGGGGACGGAGGCCCCCTGGATACGACGCCGTCGCGAGCAAAGGACGACACGCAGGTGTGAGGGAAAATCAGTGTCTCCTTGTGCCTGGCGGTACAACCGCACACACAAGGTCAGCTCCAACTCAGTTTGCTTCAATGAAAAACAAAAACTAAACGGAGTTTATTTAACTGGTTTAACAAAGCTGGTTGAGTGCCTGACCAGTAACTCCAAGCCGAATTATCCGGATGCAAGTTCCACATACTGTGGTAAAGAGTGACTCACTGCTATCCACCCATTAAAGAAGGGACTCGCACAGTGTGGGGACGTTAAAAACACATTATATAACGGCAGGCATAAAACTGGCCCTGCGCTGAACAGCAGCAGCGAAACGTGCGGAGTGTTTTCCACATTTCAAGTCCCTCTTAAGTCATTCAGTCGTGCGGCGGAGCTCCCTGACAAGGTCCACCCCGGGCTGGTGAGAGCTGTGACATCACCGAGCAAAAGATTGGCTGCAGCCAGCCCTCTTCTGTTTGCAGCTGAGGGGAGGCCCTGAACGTGTGTCTTGCTGGTGGATCCCTCGCCCTTGTGGGAGGGACGTGGGGCTTATCCAACCAGAATTTGTCTGGCCGCTGCATGGCTGATGATCTTTTCCCCCGTCCAGCATCTCGATCCACCACAAAGAAGCTGAAGTTCAAATAGGGCTGTCTCAGCCTCCTGGAAATGATGGAGTGAAAGCTTCAGGACGAAACGCGGAAAAGCCAGCGCTCCTGAAAAGCAAGTCGCTACTGCAGCCTATTGTCCTTGCGTGTCTATAGCAGGAGAGCCGACGGTTAAAGAGACGAGAGTTAAAGCAGTGAGGAAGGAACAGGAGTGCCGGAGCTGCATGTGGTGGCCCTTCCAAGCACGATACCAAATGCACGAGCCTTTTCAGGCAACATAATCTAGGTAGCTCGCATCACAGATGAATAGATTTCTTTTAGCATGAGTGATGTCCCTATTTCTGTGGATGAGCCGGTCCATGAATCGTTGATTTGTTTTTTTAAAAAGCAAGTCTGAAGGTTGAAGAAAGAAACCCAAAGGAAGCAGGGTAAGAATATGCAGTATATCACATTGAATGTTAATGTATATTTGCATTGTTGGCTGCAAAAGCAATTTTTAAAGATTTAGAAAACAAAGCCAGCCTTTCAATATGCCTGGTAAGTTTGAGTTCTGTTTTCTTGAAGTTATCAAAAAAATCCTTAAAGTTCTTATTAAAATGCATGCGTACAAACTTGGGGATGTTACGAGTTCTGCAATTATTTTTCTTGATTTTTAAAAGCTTAAAAATATGTGTCTGCAAAGTCAGTCTAAAACACTGAAGTGCCAAAGAGCAAATTACATTTTAATTAAAATACCAGCCAGTTCATTGCAATATTTATCATGTTAAAATGGTTCTTTTCTCCATAAATTGTACACAGACAAATTCTCTACACTTTGTGCTACTTCTGTGAAAGGTCTATTGTATTGCAACCCTAGGAAGACTAGGAACCTAGCCTTTACTTTCCTCTGAGCACCGACCAGATGAAAAGATACAGAGAGTTCCTCTAAGCAACAGCTCCTGGAGTATCACAGTGTTTGCATGCTTAAGTGAAAACCTCTTTAAAAAAAGAAGTCTAAACCAAGCAAGAGCTGGAAATATTTTTAACAGGTTTTGCAGTAGATACCAAACATGAAACTTGAAACCAATGAGATATGATTGAACAGCGGTGCAAAGCCCTTATTTTGCAGAGCTTTAAACACATGAAACAGAAAGCAAAAATGTTACGACATCTTTCAGCATGCGTTAGCTTAAGTGAAAATAATGTGAGGCCACTGTTAAAGGAGAGTCAGAACAGATGTAACAAATGGGGTTGACTTTCTAAGAGGATGAGCAACAAGAAGGGGTGCTTGCTGGTAAATTTCTGACCCAGAAACAGTGCTTGTGGAGGCTTGTTTTCTTTTTGCTAACACTGTAACAGAGAGAAGACGGAAAGTTTGGGACAGACAGTCCTTTGAACTCCCGAAATGTGCTGGTAGCTTTTCAAAACAAACGTTCTTGAAGAATTAATTAAGAATCCCTCTCCATTAGGCATCTGTGTGTCCCCCACCCACCCAACCCCTACTGCATCCTCAGCAACTTGAGGAGCCTTCAAGAAGAGCTGGGATTAAAGCACACAATTTAAAGCACACAGAAATAACAGAACTGCTTCTGTCTGCTTCAAGGGCGGTTGGGAACAAAAAATGGCATGCAGGGGGAGGAAGGTTGGACCCGATGGCCTTCATGGCCCCTGCCAACTCTATTCTGTGAAAGTAACTGGTTTTGGATGGTTCTCCTGCCAGTTCTTTTGTACAAGAAGTATGTATGGTTAGGTTCCTCCTGTCAAAGTAGCTAATGTGTCTAAAATTCGGAGAAGGTGCCCATCCGTTTCTTGCAACACCACAAGCAAAGAAGTGGGTGTTCATCTATCGTTCTTCTGCATCAAGGGCACGACTGTAACACGCTCCACACCCAAAATGTTGTCCTGTGGAACTGACTGCCTTGCCCTCCTCTCAAGCCCTGATGCTTTGACTGAGGCAGCGCTGCCAAAGGCAAGGGCAGCGTGGGATGAACACCTTCCTGAGCCTCTTCCAAGAAACATTTCTGCACAGAATGAGGGTAACTGCAGCTCCCCTGTGCTGCGTGGAGTGGCCAATGGACTGCTTTTTAACACACTTGTCAGAAAAGAAAAGCATGCATCAGGTTAGGATGCACAACTTCTTAATTAGCTAGCGAATTTGCTTCTCCAGTAAAATGGCAACAGCCTTTCATGTTCCTTCCAAGAACTAGTAAAGTCTGTAGAATCCTGAAATAACGTAGACTACCCGAGAGCACATGTGGAGAAACTCTCCATAATGCTACCAACTAAGTGCAGACTGTTAAGGAGATCAAAAGAGAAGAAGGGCTGCGATGTCTCTCTCTAGCCCAGTATTCTGTTTCCACAGTAGCCAACTGGATGCCTCTAAGAAACTCACAAGTAGATCGTAAGGACAATGCCACCCCTGTGTTCCCCAGCAACTGGCACCCAACTGATTTTGGAGATAATGCATCATGATTAGCAGCCACTGACAGCCTTCCCCTCCAGGAAAGATTGCTATCTTTCTGCAGAACAGGGGACTCCAAATATTTTATGCTAGTCTCTGTCATTAAGTCGTTATGGTTCCACTCTCTGATCTGGAAGTCAAAGATTCAGAAATCTCCCTGAGATCTCTCTGCACAGTCTGAAGACACACAAAAATGCTCCTGTGATCTCCTGGTGGAGACTCCCAACCCTCCTCTGAAGCACTGCAGCTCTGTCAAACCAAAGCAGGTCCAAAGCAGCTTATGCAGAGGCAATGTTGCTTTATGAAGAGTGGATCTGGGAGCAGAAGAGTAAATTAAGGGGCAGAAGAGAGAAACAGGCGACAGAGAACCTAGAGGCGAAGACCGCTTAAGAGAATATGCAACAAATTCTTGTTTATTCTCTAGAGCTGTCAACTAGTACAGATACTCTGAGGCTGATACAACTGCAATTTCTGCAAAATTTGGATTATGCCTAATAAGACAGAATTTCCTCTAACCCACCTAGATCAACATTCGTTGTAAAGCTGCATTTATTCATGTATCTGTCCACTACTTCTATGTCCCGTTTTTCTTCCAAAGAGCCCAAGGAAGTACACACGATCCTACTTCCATCCATTTTTATCTTCCCAACAATCCTGTGAGGTACATTACTCAGGAAGTCAGTGATTAGTCCAAAGTCATCTGATAGGCTTCACAGCAAAGTACAGACGAGAACCCTTGTCTCCCCAGTCTTAGTTCAACACTATCATTTCCTACTTAGGATAATTTTACAGCCTTCTCAACATCTAGAATCTGGGTGCCCAGCAGAGTTCTCGCTGCCTGCATGTGCTTCATGAAACTTCAGGGACGTCTGGGAATGCGTTTCTTCTCCTTGCACACAGAAAACATGCATTAGCGTCCTGGAGGAATATGCCGTGAAGTGCTATCTGGTATGCTAAAACACGGGCACGGATCCAGTATTATTTTTTCCAGGAAGAAATGCCACATGGCTAAACAGTAGGCCTTTCATGAATTCTCATTCATTTGGGTAGGAAGCCTTGCTCCGTATGGAAGTTGCACCAAAAAAAAAAAAAAATCTTCCATCACTGTTCAGCCTATGAGCTATTATGGAGAATAATCTTGCAAAGCCTAACGGTGCCCAGCTTCCCAAGCCATAATATTGAACTTAAGATGGCTTTTAGTAATGTCTGTTTTGGAAGGGGGGGGAGTTTGAATTTGCAGGTTCCAAATCAAACTTCCCACCCCTCCTCAGTAAGACCGAGCTCAGAAACAGCCCTTTGGGCCACCCATTCATTACGTAAGCACGGAGTAGCCTCTGAGAGGGTCTGCACCGGAGCGCTCTCTCGGCCAAGGGCCTGCTGGGCTGACACCTCTTTTTCTCCCTGGGCAAACTATTTGCTGCCTTTGCAATGCGATCGAGCACCACACACCAACTGTACTCTATTAGGAGGAGGGGGAGGAGTTAGAAATCCACAGGCATGTTATGATTTGTGTTTATACTGTGAGCACGTGCCACAAGCGGCAGCAGAACGCTGAAGGTGTGGGAGCAGTGGGAGGCCGTGCGGCAGTGTCATGTTGTTTTGGTTTTTCTTTAAGTCCGGTCAGTCCGTGTTCACCTGTGTAGCTGTGCAGAAATGCAAGTGAAGGCATGGTGCTGCCTTTTCTGTTCCCGAAGAAACCAGCCGTAAGCCAAGGCCTGTCGCTGGACAGGCTCAGCAAGCCACGGTGGTTTTCTACCGCTTTGGGTCTGTTCGGTTGTCCCAACTCTACTGCGTGATTTCAGCCTGTTACATTTGGGTTTTAGAAACCACAAATAGAAGGTTTCTAAGCACAATTCTACGGTTTCTCAGTACTAGGATGGTTTCTTGGGTCATCTGAACTGGAAAGCACAACTCACTGTGGTACCAAGACCAGCTGATTTCACAGAGTCATAGAACAGAGGTGTTGGAAGGGGCCGTGGAGGCCAAAGGGTCCAACCCCTGCTGTTGCAGGACACCAGTTCACACCATCCCACTCGGAGGGCTGCCCAGTTTCTTTTTGGATGTCTCCAGTGTGGGAGGGCCCCCCACCTCTCCAGGCAGCTGGGTCCACTGTCGCATTGCTCGGACAGTGAGGAAGCCTTTCCTGAAGCTAGAGGGACACCACAGCTTTACGTCCTCCCCCTTTGCCCGAGGATGCTCTTTGCTTGAATCACCTGGGGCAAAGGCCCCCCTGTCCCGCTGGCTCCCTCCGAAGCAGGGGGTGAGGATGCCTGACCAGCAACCTCTTCCACCCTCCTATGCCTTGCTTCCACAGCAAAGGCTGCCCAACGGCCCTGGCAAGTGGAACGTGGCTTGCCGCTGCAGCCGTCCAAGAGGGGCTGCATTCCTCCCCACGGTGCCGGGAGGAGGGAGGGGCCAGGAAACGGGGGAGGGAGGAGAGCGGCCAGCATGAGCCTGGTCACCTGTCAGCCACACTGAGGCACAAGGCCACTGACTGTGGCAGCCGCACAGGGCTGCTTGCCGTGACGTGTAAACCCAGCCTCTGACTCGTCTGGGGAGAGACAAGCCGGGATCCCTAGTGTTTGCAAGAAAGCAACAACCCACGGACTGGGGGCCCTCAGCTTCTGGACAGCAGGCATAAGCGATGGGGAAGACAGAGGCAGGACCCCCTGGCTGGAGCCACACCGGGGGCAAGTGACCAAAGCATGTTTTACCATCATTCGAGTGGGTCCGGGGTCTGTGTGAGCGCATGCATGCACAGACCCCGTGGCAGATCCTTCCTACCAAGAAATCTTCTGCATATCTTGAGCTAAAGTAGCAGCAAAGTATAGCAGTTTCTTACTGCTTATTATGGTTTATTGCTTATTATCGTTTACTTATGGCATGTGCCCCTAGGCTTCCTTAGAGGTCAAGTCAGTTCTGGTTTGAAGTGGCCTTTTTAAAGAGCCATTAAGTTCCATGACATGGGATTGTGTCTTTGGATATGGA